CTGGCGAGAAGGGAGGGCAAGACATGCACAGCCAGTAACACCGATGCTGGGAGGGTGGGGGTTGTGCGGCGCAGCCCCTTTGTACCCACCTGGCCTCCTGCCGCGTGGCTCCCAGACCTGCCGTGCAGCCAGCTTCAGGCCCTTCTCCAGCAGAACGGGGCCTCTTGCCCCCTGGGCTTGGTCTCGGGGCTCCTGGCACACCCAGTTTCAAGCTGGGTGCACCGAGGCAGGGTCCTGCAGGCACCTGGCGGCGTGTGGGCAGCAGCAGAGCAGGGCCACGGCTGAGGCAGGCTCGGGCGCGAGCTCCAGGACGGGTTGCGGCGCATAGCAGGGCATCGCTGTCGAGGCTGGGTGTGATCGCTGGGCCAGCTGTACACGTGGACTTTCGAACTCTTGAATAAAAGGAACTCGTCGTTATGTACCTCTTGTCCCAGCCTCCCTCTGCCTTCATCACGGTCCCGTGCTGGGGGTTGGGCTGGGGGGGGAAGCCGTGGCATGCCACGTGCCACAGAGCTCCTGGCTCATGTGGGCTGACGGGGAACGTGAATCTCCTCTCTGCAACCGGGAGGGGCTGCCTTTTGCCCACGTCAGGGGCCAGCAAGCTCCCAGGGCCCTGCCTGCAGGGGAGAGCTCAAGGCCCTTCTCCTTCGCCGGCACGGCCAGGAGGAATAGAGGGGTCTTGGAAAGGAGCCATCTTCTGCCAAGGGAGAAGGGGCAGGTTTGAACCAAGGGCCCCTCCCCGAGGCCCAGGAACCAGGGGGCAGTTGTATACCCTTTCAGGAGGTACACGTGCTGCAGGGGCGGGCGGTGGTACGACTGCTGCATCGCACTGCAGTCCCTGAGCGCCCGTGTACGCAGGCGGCACCACTGCCACGCAGGGAGGTCTGGGAGCGAAGGACGCCCGCCTGGTGCACAAAGCGGGGACAAAACATGCCTCTCGAGCAGAACGGCTTGATGTGACTCATTGCTTGCCGCTGGCAGGGAGCAACCCTGCTCTGAGGGCCTGGGGAAAGCTGCATGCAAGTCTGTGTCCCGTGGTGGCTCCTGGCTAGCCCCCAGGTGCTCCCCCCGCCACAGCAGCTCTCCACATGCCTCCCCTCAAGACCGGAGCGAGAACAAGGCTCGAGTACTGCAGAGCTCGCAGGGGACCTGCCGCCACCTTGCAGGCACCTGGGCTTGCTGGACACCCCCTCCATCCCCCCAAGAGCTTGAGCTCCCCCAGATGCGGTGAAGCCGACAGGCTCGTGTCTCTGAAGAGGCACAGGGACTGCCCGCATGAGCAGGTGTCAAGGGGGGCACAGCCTCAGCTGGTGGGAAACAGCAGCTCCGTGGCAATGGGCTGCACTGGGCTTTTGCAACCCAGCTCCGAAGGCAAACACCACACCCAGGCTTCACCATCGTTCCCAGATGCCTTGTGCGAGGCCTTCACACCATGCGCCCCTGCCTCCCCCTCCACTCTGCGAGGCAGGCCAGAATGAGTATCCACTTTCTACAGGCGGGGAAACTGAGGCACGGACCACCTAAGAGACTTGCCCGTGGTCACACAGAGCCAGTAGCAGCGCCAGGAGTGAGACTGGGGCATCCCGGGCACCCGAGCCCAGGTTCAGAGCGCTGGACCAGACACAGAGGAGCTGCCCCAGGGGCCGGCAATTCCCCACCGAAACCAGAGGCCACTGCATATGATGGGTCCCAACACCCCTGCTCCTGCCTACCCACCCTGGACGAGGGGGGCACTCATGCCAGGCAAGTCGGGAGGGAGGGACCAGATCCTGCCGCCCAGGGATGGAGGAGTTTCCTCGAGGCCTGGGGCTGGGGTAAGTCCCAGCAAAGCTGGCGGGGAAGGCATTGCTGCGAGAGCTGCAGGGGCATCGAGGCTGGCTGGTAGATGGCCTCGACCAACCAGTACCTGCATGCTGCCTCCTGGAGCTCAGCCTGGCCAGGATCTCCGAGCTGGCAGCTCCTGGCGGCTGCAATTCCCTTTCCCCATCCCAGCAAGAGAGCTGGGTTGCCAGGAAAGCCAAGGCCACTTAGCCACGGGCCCCTCCCGCCGTGGTTTCTAGCTCTCAGCACGCGTCCAAGGGCTTGTTTTGCTTGTGCCCCATCCCAGGCCTACCATGCATCCAGAGGGCCCACGGGGATGGGAGGGCTTCAAGCCCACAGCTCACGAGACAGGAGTCACCCCTGGCCCTGGCCCCCATGCCTCATCGCTGGTCATTAGCGCAACTTGGGACCTGCCTGGCTCCAAACGAGGCAGCAAACAAAGCGCGCGTGCAGGGCTGATTAGAGCCAGCTCCCCGCTGCCATAGTGAGAGCGCCGATAGCCCCCCTCCACCACGCCGTCTCCACCTCGCTCCCAATGGGATCCCAGCCTCGGGAATGCGTGGCAATAAACCCACTGCGCTGGCGGCGTCCTCGAGGACGCCGTGGTGATGAACGCAGCCTGTTATTTAAAGGAGGATGAGCTGGGCAGCACAGACCAGCTGCTAAAGCCGTGGGCACGTGGGGGAGCCCCTGAAGAGAAGCAGGGTAAGTCGATGCACCTTCCCTGATCTGCCGGCCCCTGCGAGGGACTGGGCACCCCTGGCTCTCGCTGCAGCCCATGGGGGAGCTGAGGGCAGCGCATGGTGGTGGCGCTGGACTGGCTCAGGCCTCCAGTCCTCCCCTAGCCAAAGTCAACCCAAGGCTCGTGCCAGCTCCTGCCTCATGCGGGGACCTTGGGTCTGCTGCAGAGACCCGAGGATGGAGCATGGGGTGCAGTCCAGCCTGGCCAGCTTCTGGACAGCCAGCTGGACTGAGCGATGCCCGGGTCTGAATGGGGATCTGAGCCCCCGAGGCAGTGTCCTGCTGGCAGCTCCAGGTCTCTGTCTGAGATTGCAGCACAGGAGGGATCAGCTGCTGCTGGGGCCAGGGGTGGCTCATGGACAGCTGGTCCACCACCACCCTGCTGGGAGAGCAGCCAGCGGCAGCACAGGGAGCTCAGCCTCCACGGCCCCACGGCTGAGCCTGCAGCAAGGACGAGGCAGAGGGCCCTGCCCAGTGGGGGAGCTCCACAGCCAGCCGGCAGCAGCTTCCTCCTGCCGCAAGGGCAGAGACTTGCTCTGAAGCGCTCGGGGAAAATGTTTCCCTTTGCCTCCGCCGCCTGCCGCCTCGGCAGAGGTGCAGAGACCACGCAACCCCTGGGGTCGCCCCCACAGAGCTGGTTACACAGGACGCGGTCTCCAGCCCCCTGCCACCTTCCTCCAGCATCCATTAGCCAGCGCCATGCACCTGGGACAGCTCCGGAGTGCAAGCTGCCTTCCCCGACGGTCCCACAGAAGCCCACTGCTGGAGGACCTGCCATCAGCCTGCCCTGCCTGCCCGCACGCGGCTGCTTGTGGCTGCAAAAGACCGAGTAGACACAAGGTCGTGATGCCCAGCCTTACCCCGCCAAAGCTCCTAGCGAGAGCAGGTCTCACGGGGGCAGGAGGCTGAACAGGTGCTGCTGGCTCCCCTGGACTGAGCTGGTGGTGCCTGGGAGCGGAGCTGGGGTCCCACTGCCAGCCCCAGGGGCTGCTGGGCAGTGCCAGGGACCCCTGTAATAGAAAAAGCCATGACCCTAAACCCAGGAGTGATGGCTGCTGGGGAGATGCTTGCACCCGTAACCCTTCTCTGCTCCCACCCCGCAGATGAAGGCACCCTACTCCTTGTCCTGCCTCCTGCTGCTCAGCCTGGGCACCTGCTTCCCTCCGGATGACCGAAGAGGGCCAGGAGACCCAGGCCCAGGCCTCCCGCTGAGGCCCAGCTGGGGGGATGCGGTGGCCTGGAAGAGGAGCGCCGGGGACCTGAGCTCGCTGTTCAGCATGGCCAAGGAGCTGCAGGGTTTTGACCAGGAGCAGGCCGGCTTCAGGCAGCAGCAAGAGAGGCCAGGCAAGGAGGGTGGGGGCATCCGCTTCCAGCCGCGGGACGACGGGGAGAAGCGCAGCGGCACCCTGGGCAGCCTGGCCGAGGAGCTCAATGGCTACAACCGCAAGAAAGGGGGGTTCAGCTTCCGCTTCGGCAGGAGGTGACCGGCTGCCTGGTCCCGGGATGCCCCAGGGAGAGGGGGGCTCACCCCAAATCAGCCCATCATGCCACCCTGTTCCTTCCCTGCCCCTTCAGCTACGGGGGCTGGGGGAGAACGGGATGTTTCATAGTACTGGGTTTGCTCTGCTCCTTTCAGCTTTGTCCCACATCCCATCCCTGCCCGCTCTGGATATGGCAGCCCCTCGCGCCCAGGCAGGGGGGCCTAAAAGGAGGCTCCCAAACCCAAGCACGGTGCCCCACAGCTCCCCTTCCCCTGGCACGCATCGTGCTGGCAGCCCCGGGGCCACGCTACGCCATGCATGAAACTAGGCTGAGCTAGCTCGGCAGCCAGAGGGGAGGCAGACTGAGTGATCACGGTGGGATAATCCAAGTGCTGAGACGCTCTGCAGGGACTGCTGGGAGCTGACAGCCCGCAGAAGGCAGTGGAGGAGGAATGGGTCCTGCCGGGCTCCAGCTGCTCCCCCCGAGTCCTGCCGCCATGCCCAAAACTGCAGGCGACCTGGGATGCAGTGCAGCGCCTGATGAACCACCACCCCTGCCAGCCATGGGGCATGGGCCTTGATCACCCGTGCCATCCCCTGGGCTTGACGAGCTGTTCAGTGTCATTACAACACCTGCAAACCATCCCGGGTCTGTCCGCAGTTCTTTACCCGTGTTGCCCTAGCGCTGGGCTTGGCTGCCGGTCTGGGCCTGGTGCAGCAGGGCAACAGCGCTGGGAGGTTGGTGGGGGAAGCTGCAGGCTTGCACTGGCGCCTGTGACCAAATTGATGCCATTAGGCATTTCCTCCCTAACAACGACCAGCTAATGATCCACTGCAGGCCACAGGCATGGTTACCTGCCCAAGCTAGACTGGGGAATGGGGCTCTCAGAGGCATATCGCCGTATACATCAGGCCAGCTGACTGCTTAAAGCCAGCATGGGGGGGACCCCAAGTCAGTGGGGAGCAGGAAAAGCTGAAGTGCTCTGGGTCAAGATTCGGGGGGGCAGGGGGAGAGAAAA